ATTAAGGCTTAACCGAAAAAACGGCTTTTACTGTACTATTTTAGATGCGATTTTTTGTTTTTACATTTAATCTTCATTGAGTACTTAGGTGTATTAAATTGATAACATTTCAGATATTGTTATAAATATTTTCATATATTTTGATTTTTAACCAAATGTGTGAACCATTTTAAATTCAAATTTGTTATTGCATATTGGTTCAATTATAGAACGATTATAAATGTTCCGGAAAATTGATCAAATTGAAAACAGTTTGTTTGATTCTCAGCAATTCTCATTATTCTCAGCAGTAGGTGTTATATAACAATTACTATGGTTGTTGAAATACTGAATACAAATGGGGTTTGCTTGCAAAACCACTGCGAGCAAAGTTGCGGGTAACAGCTAGTATACTTATAAATAAAAACACAAAAATGCATATATTGAAAATGAACATATACTTACAATAAACTTATAATATAACAGATTAATCAAAAACTATTTAATATTGAAATTTACTCTAAATACAATCTATAGCCTGAGAATTCAGCCACTCTCACATGATACTCAGAGATATATATAATATTTATTTTTTACTGTAGGAAGGCTTATAGCCAAAACACATAATAGAGATATCCCACATATAACATGGTAGCTAAATTCCAAAAAAATGCAGTGTTATATAAATCTGTACTATACAAAACAAATGACTAGTACGAAGCACAGGGTTATGTTCCAAAAATTAGCAAAAGTATACTATATTTTTATGCAATTAAGAGAAATATGTCATTAAAGCAATAAATAATTAACAATCACAATCAAAAGTATTGCATGTTAATATTAATTTTTTCTTCACTACTAAACACTGTTAAACAAGGACATTTTCTTTTTGGAAAAATACCTTGTTTCCCCAAAAATGAGACTAGGTCTTAATGTGTCTTTTGGAGCAAAAATTAATATGTTTTATTTTCAGGAGATGTCTTATCCAAAGATACTCATTTGGGTATTTACAAATATTTAAAATAAATGATAATATAAATTATAATTAAGTATTAATGTCAATAATATTTATTTATATTTAATTACATATTATTATTATTATTATTATTACTATTTTATAATTTAATACATCCATCATGGGTTCCAACAGACATATTAAATATGACCATCTGGTGATTTTAACTTATTTTAGGGGTAGGGTTTATATTATGAACACCCTAAAAAATCATGGTAGGTCTTATTTTCTGGTTAGGTCTTATTTTCAGGAAAATACAGTGTTGTCGTCATCTGAGCTTTGATCTTAATTTCAATTATCAATATCTTGATCCTTATCAGATTTTATGAAAAAACATAGAGATTTTCATTTATTTGTTCTTGTCTATCTTTAAAAATTAAAATTTTTTTTAATATAGTAACTGTTAATTGAAGTGAAGCGTTAGCAAAGCTTCTTCTATGAGGCTTATAGAATTGTGTTTGTTCTCAAAATCCATACAATAGACTGATTAAACTTTGCCATTTTCCATTAATTGCAATATAAATGGGGGGGTCTATGACTTAGTTTTTGAGATATAAGGTTGTTTCATGAGTGCATGGGATGAGTTTTATAAAAAAGTTTAAATGTTCATAATGAATAATCTCCCTCTCAAGATATATGACCCCCTCTATCACCCCACACGAGCTTTTGCCACCAAAATTTACCATCAATGCCCCTCATATACAAGCCATCATGCCAAATTTTGTTTCTTAATCTTTATTCTATCCTGAGATATTAAGCAAAATAGACATCAACACACACATCCATGGAATGTTTTTACCATTTTTGGATTCAGGAGATCTCAAAATGTGGAGATTTGCAAAAAACTCAGAAAGTCAAATTTGACACAATTCCAATACTTTCCCTTGTTATACATTCATAACAGCTGGGAAAGTAATAGCAAGATGAAACTGGTCAAAAGTTTTCATATAAAATATTAGTTTTCAATATTAGATAAATCAAAGTCAATAATATCTATATTAAGTACTCTTTTTTCCTTTTATTTTTGTTATATGTTACTAAAACCTAAAAAGTTAAGGAAATAATTATCATATCAACACAGAATTAGTTCAAAATATCTATACAATATAGTTATTGACCATTAAAGAGTTAAGTCAACTAAACAGCCTGAGAATGAATAAAATGTTTTATTTTATGTATAACAATAATCTTCACAGTGACCTAACAAAATTTTACAACAAATAAGAACAAACTCTGTTATCTTCATAAATGGATCACTTTAATTTTAACAGATAATTAATAATTTAATGTTCTAATATAATTCTTTGCTGAAATTACTAAATTATATTATTGCAGCTTTCATTTAAAACATTTTTGATAAAATTACTTTAAAATATGTTATAAAAAATAATATGAAAAATAATTATAGATATAAATTCAAAATTATACCAATTTTTGGAGACTAGATAATTCCTCTGGTATCCAATCTATATTAGTTCTATTCAATTTTAGCCATCTCAGTCCTGTCATTTCAGCAACAGCTTTAGGAAAATAATCCTCCTGAAAAAGAAAATTTTGAATTCCTTTATTACAAAGTAAATAATTTTATAAATTATCCTATCAACTTAATTTATATACATATATTTATATTGTTATTGTTATTATTATATTTTTTAATACATTGTATAAAAACTGTATTTTTACAAAATTGGTAAACAAAAAATAAATTATCATTTTAAGTTATGAAATATGTAAGGAATCAAGTCCGAGCATTATTTTTAGTTATTTTTTATTTTGCTTTTTATTCTATTTTTGTTTGGGGCTTATGTTTTGTTAGGATGAAGGTTTCCTCACCACTCACCTTAGAAACTTAAAAATAAAAGAAAGAGAACTAACTCACTGACGAAAAAAAAGCACTGTAGAAAAACTTGCGCACATGTGCACTCCCGAGGGGAAAAAGTAAGTCCGCACCGAGAAAGAGGGGGGAGACCCCACAAACACAACTTAGGAACTTGCTAAACCTTAAAGAATAAAACATCCTGAAAAATTGTCAAAAAGAATAATGTAAAGGTTAGCGAGTATTGTCAGGAAATAGGCTGCCAGGCAGAAAGGAAAGTTTACTGTTAGCGATAAGTATGTAAATGAGGGGAGTGATCTCAATCAGAATTGTGACGTCACCTCATAGTATAAAGTCCGAACATCAAGTGAAGATCACCGAGGTGAGCTTCGTAGCAGCAAACGACAAGAGATGTCCGATAGCGATAAAGTGGTTCCAAGGCAATTTAAAGTTATTCAATTTGTGGATCGAAGATTAGAAAGTCTTGAGAGTTGAGGAAAAAGGTTCCTAGTATGTTGAGGTAACAATCAGGACCTTAGTTCATAAGAATTGTTGTACATAAGTTAAGTCTTTGAATTTTTTGTCGCGTTCCAAAGGGGAATAGATTTAAGTTAGCAAATAGATTGATTTGAGTTTTTTGTTGGGTTGATTCTTATTGATTTTCTTTGAATAAATTTGTTGTTTGATTGTTACTAATTTTTGTACATAGTCATTATTAGAATTATTAAATATTGGATTGGTTTTGACTAACTTTGTCATTATTTCTTTCAGTGCACGCTTGTCCAGGCTTGGCACATTAACATGAATCCGCGTAAAGTACCCGTTAGGTAACGGCTATTTCCAGCACACAGTCATGTCGCTAATCGTTGTAAAATGCAAAAATCACTTAGTACTTTACAAATATAAAAGATTACTAAATTAAATCTGTTTAAAAGTCCATTCCTTATTGAATGACTGATTCTTAAGGCCACCACAAACTAGGCAAATATTGAAGCAAACTGGTCAAAGCAAATTCATTCAATTATCGCCTGCTTAATGGCAGTAGATTGTTGTCATCAACTTATATCCATTGATAAAAAGTAAATGATCCTTTTGATGCCTCTTGGATTCAAGAAGTTGATTTTTTTGGGGGGTGATTGATGACGCTTATGCATATTTAAAAGTTTGCAAGAAAAGAGCATGTACCGTAGGCCACAAAGAAAGTGCATTTGTGCTTCATGTTTCGACCATGTTTTTGCAGTGTTGGGATTATGAAACAGGGCTGTTTGATAGATTTTCATAGAAGTAAGAATATAAATTATTTCAATGATTTTATTGAAATTTATAAATCTATTGGGTTCCAATTTTGTTTTCATTTATTTATTAAATTTCTGAAAAATAGACAACAAATGGAAGCAGCAAAGCTAACTGATGTTATTTCTGAATTTTAGTGGTATTATTTAATAACTGATGTTAGCTTTCACTGTTTCCATTTGCTGATGCAAGTCATCTTTGTAGGTCATTGTCATTTTACAAAACAAACTACTGAGCAATAGTTCATAGAAGGGTAGATGAAATGTTCATTGGTTCTGTAGAACTATATCATGTGATGAAATTGCCCAATTGTCAAAGCAAAACAGTTACGTGACCATAAAAATTGCCTGGGATGTCGTCGAAAGTGATAGCATTGCCTAGTTTGCGACAGCCTTTAAAGACCAGCATTTCTAGCAATAGAAGTTTGAATGAAATATATGAACGTATGAAAAGTTTTTGTATTTAATATTTTCAATCAAGAATCATTAGTTGTTTTAACTCAGTAGTTTTCAATCTATTTTAAATATACAGATTCAAACTCTAATGGAATCTACTGATGAAACCCTCGTTGTCCATATCCCATCCCCACAAGCTGAGCAGCATGTTTCTGGTACCTTAACTAAAAAATGTTTCATTAATAGATAAAAATATAAATCAAAACACAAATACCAGCAATTTTTTGTCTTTTAAAAACTTTCTAGAATGAAGCAGTAATGAACTGAATGAATCAATAGTTAAATGATTAATGCCAAATGTCATATACACAAATTTAGGAACTGTTGAAATATTTTGTGTGGTCTTTCATATAAATTTTCTCCAAGAAACTTATCTGAAATAAAACAACGAATGATCAAGTTCTCCATATTGATGATTATAGTCATTTTGCAAATTGAAATATTGACTGTCACATTTCTTTATTAAATCTATGCCTACTTCAATTATCACAGACTTGCTGCCAATTTCCTGATGTACAGTGTAGTAAATGGTTTCCAAAATTTAGAAAACATCTAGCCAATCATTATTATAAACTTTTGTAAATTATGTTCTGAAATTGAAATTACTATGCTCTTTCAATTGCTGAATACTGTAAGGATAACAATTAAAAGATAAGAAAGAATTTAAATAAAGTTGTGAGTAGCATGAGATTTTATTTATAGTTATATTTAGTTACTTACATTATTTATTTTCTATTTTGTTTCAGTTATTTTGAGTTTTAGGGGATGAGTTACATTAAACCCCAACTGCTATCTCAACACTTCCTGGCTAATACTTCATTTGCATAATGAATGGAATTGTATCCCATTAATTTTGGATTTAAAAAGAATTAAAATATTAACCATCTCAGTCCTGTACTATATTTTGTAACCAGAAAAGTAAAGCAATTAATAGCACAGTAGTAAAGCATTATTTTATTTATTTGTAAGGAAACATTTTATTTATTTGTAAATATGTCAATATGCAAATTAACATTGGTTAAAAGACCATTGTCAAACTCCACTTCGCTCCTTCTGGTCAGTACATAGCTATAGAATTGTAATCTATTGATAATTGTAAGTGATTAATTGAATTGGTGTTGATTAAAGGTTTTTCTTCTGTTAGATTCTTTTCCTTAATCAAGTTAACTGTTTGAGATTATGGATAATTGTAATTTTACATATAGTACAAAAAGTTTAGCCATACAACTATTTTTGAGCATTACAAAAAAATATTTTTTCACAAGTACTTTCAACAGTATATAACTGTCCTCTTCAAACAATATCATTCATAGAAAACAGAGAATTTTAATTTGAAAAATAGAACACAAACAGCAGCAAACATTTTTTCAAACTTTTCTCATGCAAAGAAATAATACTAATATATTTTCTCATGCAAAGAAATAATACTAATATATACTAATATACAAAGAAATAATACTAATAAAAGTTACTGAATTAAAACACAAAAATAAATAAATACACAGCAGTGCCATTGATGATGCAAGATGTTTTATTGTAAACTACAAAACTTACAAATTTAAAAGCTTAAACCGCACTATCGACAGTTCTGGTATGTCAACCATGGGGGAGTTGCACAGTGACATTAATGCAATGAAAAGGAATTTCTATACAAACAGCATCCTTTGATTCCCACAGCATTTCATAAGCAAAGTTTGTGACCAAAGCAGATCAAATTTACCCTCTCACTTTTTTCAGCTAGTTCTGTTGTACATCTGTGATGTATAGTACAACTTCACAATATTCCTCAAGATAGATGTGGAGTATTCTAGCAGTCACCCCAAATATATAATAGCTTCGACCCAATTATCAAATTTTGTAAGGGTATAGCATAAACTCTAGATTTTTCAGAGAGTACAACATCATTTCTATTGTTGCAAATGATCCTATGCAATTTTTTTCAAATTGCAGCCCAATTAAAACACTTTTTTTTCCTGAGTTATGCAAGTAATACAGACCATAGACCTTTACGTAACTTGAATTTTACATACGTCAAATTTGTAAATTGCTGAAGTGTAACTACATAATTAATAACAATACTGTATTTATTATTATTATTATTGTTATTTTTTGTATAATTTGTTTTGTCGTTTTGATTACATTTTAATGGAACAGTACTGTAAGTAAACAATATATACTATGTAAATGTAGCAATGGTAAACAGGTTATGTATTAAACAAATCACTTTAGGCAAACTACACTAATGATGTGAACAATACATATAGAAAAACAAGCAATGAAGATGTGCTTGGTTTCACTGCTCGACCTTCACTGAGTACTATAGAAGAATCTTGTTTATGAGAAAAAGTGCTCAGTGCACTTGCGTATATGCTTACAATTAGACCGAAAAGTAAAGAATTAGCAGAGCAATAAAGTAATAAATCAATACAGTGCAAAAGAGAGAAAGAGAATGAATGAATTAATGTTTGAAATAGAATAATTCTTTGTAAAATTACATGTTACTCTACTCAAATTTGTTTCCAATTTTTGAGATTTACGTTTTACATAATTCACATTTTACATACTTCAGGGTATTATAGTATCCTAAAATTTCTCCACTAAAATTACTATGTTCTTTCCAATTGCTTTCTCTAACTTTTTATCATAATTTTTAATACAACTATATTCATTAGTCAAAATGAAAATCTTTATTTTATATTACATAATTTTATAATAATAATAATATTAATATGTTATAAATTATATTATTATTAGTCATCTTTTAAATATTGCATTTCCTTTATAACATTCCAATCTAATTAATAATTCTTGAATTGTTCTTGTATCTTTTATCTTTGTCATCTGAAACATTCCTAGCTTAATCTCATTTTATCATATCTCTATTATAAAATCTCTTCTTAAGAAGTAGGCTATACACTTTATTTTAGTCTTTTTTATAATGATTTTATTGTACAATTTACGTAAAAATTTATCCTTTCTCCTTTTGATACTTTGATTTTCTATAGTCTTGCTTAACTACATTTTTCCTATCAAATATCGCAGACAATCTTATGATGAAAAAATATACTTCAACTTTAAAAATTTTTATATGCATTCCTATTAACACTTTTTTTTTTTGATAATATAGTTTTCAATACATTTATCTTCAAAATCATTCTTTAAGATAATTATATTCAAAAATCTATTAAATCAATATATATATATAAAGCCTGATTTGATAGCCAATAACAAATTAAAAAGTTGTGTTCTTTTGGGATTAAAATTAAGCTAATTATGAGTAATTAAATAATCCAAATTTCAAAATTTATTTAATTCAAATTAACTTAATCCTAGCTTGTATACTTAGAAAGTCCAAATAATCATGTTTTTAGAAATTAATAGCATTCTAAGTATTATCATTACATTCTTGTGTTATTATTATACATATTGACTAATATATGTAATCATAATACTGAATAACATTGATATAATGGTAGTCTAAGTTTTACTTTCTAAAGTTATTAAATTTTGACAATATTTTAACATACAGTGGGTGATCAGTTAACGAACATAATTCGTTAAAGACTTTGTTCGCTATCTGAATTGTTTGTTAACTTTATTATCGATTTACCACAGGTTTTTATGGGAATTTGATTAATTCATTCTGGAAATTCCAAAAAATAAAAAATATATACTTTCTTACTACACTTATTTATATGTAATAATAAAAATATATATATATATATACACAGTCCTGCATTTTTATTAGTCATGTTTTTCCGTTTGTGGGGGTTAAAGAATCTATCTAATGTCAATTGCTTTTCTCTCTTCTTCAGGATTTTTCAGAAGTAATTAATAGCATTGTAATTGTAGAGATCCCCAAGCCTATTAATCTCAACCTGGTTTGATGCCATTCTAAGACCTCTGTTCTGACATCCTCCCACTTGTTCAAAGGATCTTTAATAGCAGATATTGGCATTAATCCTCTTTTTCAAAAGAAAAAATATGTCGCCAAGTTCCTTGGTGTTCTTCATTCAAGAGTTCTTGGCATTCTTCTGTTGTCAGATCAGTTTCAGGTTCCATTATGAGCTGTTCAATGTTCTTTATTTCTCAGATGTGATTTTTGTTACTCCTTTAGCTGCTTGAGTCTTCTTGATAATACTGTATCTTTCTTAGATAAGATTGAACTGCAGCCTTGTGCAGCATCAATGTTAATAAAGAATTTTTTGCTTTTTATGCTGTCAGCTGTTCAAGTCATACTGTCCAGCAAAATCAATCATCATCTGCCCACTCTCTACCTTTGCTATTATACTCTCACCTTTCGAAAATAAAAACCGATGCAAAACTTAACAAGTGCATGCCCGACAGTCTTGCAAATACTATAAAGAAACTATTTCAGTCAGAAAAATAAAAGGCTGGAATTACAAGGGAAAGTTTCAAAGTTCAGAGGAATACTATCCGATCAGTATATACCGAGTTGAGCGTCGATGTTGACATCTCCCACACTCCAAAAAGTTTCAAATTGTTGTCTGAAGATAAGGGAAGACCAATCGGTATTCATTATTTTATGTCGCTTCTTCTTGTGTTCTGTGAGGTGTTCATAATCCAAAGATAAAAATCTTTTGCGAAAGTGTTTGTTATCCAATTTGTTCATAGTCTGAACTGTTTGTTAACTGATCACCCACTGTATGTTGTTATTGTATTAATTTTTACTAATAATATAGATCTATCAGATTAATTTTTTTATTTTAATAAGTCAATTATAAAAATATCACTAATAAAAACCATTTGTTTATGTTCACATCTAAAATTTCAACAGATTTTATATGAAATCTCCTGAAAATGTCATTATTTGTTTTTATGTAATCAAAGGATTTAATTTCATTATCAGCAAAATATTAAAAAAAAATCCAGCAATACATTGCTTAACTTTCTCAGCAACATTTAAAACTATGGGGCACATCTGTTATGATATTTTATTATTAAAAACTTTTTATATTTTTAATTATTATAAAATGGCAAAAAGCTTAATTTTGATGGTAGAGAGAGGTTTCATAAAAAACTGTAAATGCTAATAACGAGTAAAATTGTCATTAAGTCTGATCCTACTGGAGATACACACAACCCCCTTTATTTCCCCATCCTGTCAATCTTTCCTCACCAAAATTTAATAACATCAGTCCCATCAACAAACAAACCTCCTTGCCAAATTTCAGATATTTTTGACAAAAAGCACAAAAGTTATTATGCTTCAAAGAGGGTAAACAAAATCATGCCCTCCACAAATATTCATACATATAGAAAAAACCCCTGAATATTTTTGCATTTTTGGACACTTGAGGTCCCGAGTCCAAAAATATAAAAATCTGGGAAGTCATTTTTTGCCATATCACCATTATACTTGGCAATCATCAGTGTTTGATGCTGACCAGCAGCATTTTGTATGCTTTGTCAGTGAACAGGCCACTTTTCCTTTCTCTCAGCATTTTTAAAGAATTTGATATTATCACAAACACTTCATTTAATGAGTCTAATACCAATATATAGTATATGCTGACAATATTGAATGTATTTTATTATGAACAATTGAAGTGAACCAGAATGACATTCTCAGATTCATTCAATTAGGAAAGAATCAAGAATGATATTTTTATATATGTATGTTGGTATAGGTATGAGAATTTAAGCTCAAATATAATTTTAAATGACATATAATAAATTGCATCTTCAAATCTGGCAATGTTAGTGCCCTTACATTGGCAGTTAAATCAATTATAGTTAACTCATCATCAGAAGGAAATGAGTAACTTTTACAGTTAGAGCAAATTATTGAGCAGTGCTACAGTTTCTCCACTCAAAAAGAAGAAACATGTGGTTCATTACTTAAGAATATACAGGCCATATGATATGAACTTTC